AGGTGTGAAATCTTAACTTGACAAGATAAAATCTAGTGACTAATGTACAATCGTTTACTGAAGAGAATGGTGTTTTGTGACTTTTTCTAAATGGTGACTTCAAATAATCTCAATAGATGATGTTTATTATTTATTCTTATCAGTTTAGTAATTTGATATAAAAAAACTCCACTGAACAATGATGTTTAACTGTCATAGATTTAACCTAATGACCATTTCATACGTATGTTCGGCCTTCATTTTAAATGTTCATATATCTTCTGTAAGTTAAAAATGTTGTGTAACTGAAAATAAAAGTCTACTCGGTTAAAATAGTACGACTTGTTGCTTTCTATCAGATTTGTCAGATCGAGTTCATGATGAAGATCTCTGACTCATTTATTGAGGGTTTTTGTTACAATTTACAGTCCCATTTCCGAGTTCATCCGAAGATATAATAATAATAATGACGATAATAATAATAATAATAATAGCTTCATTCAATACCATCTGTTACCTTTCAGTGATTTTTCAGCACTGAATGTGTAACACTACAATCAACTTACCGTTTTATAAATATTTAACTTCTAAATATTGCGAAAATATTTATTAATGGTCATTTTTTTCTTGACCCGTTTCTTTCATTTTCATAATTCAATAAGAAATAATTTCTAGAAATATATTTTATGCTGTGTTATTATTCGGTTTTATTTTCTGGCCTGCCTTATGAGCACTGTCGCCATCCCTTCTCTCTCCCTTACTCGAATAATATATAATTACTCGCTTTTCAATAAGTAAACTGGAACAGAATGAATCTCTTTTATACTCCAATTGTTGTTTTTTTTTCATCATGATCACTTGCATATTCCAACATTTTCGGTGCCATTTCTGTTGTTCCCGTTCTCTTTCCTCTACTTCGCTTTGTTTCTGTATCCCTGTCTTAATATGCACACTTTTTACTGTGTATTCATGTGTCTTTTGTTCTTATTTCGGCGTCCAGTTTCGTGGCTTTTTGGTGTTAAGTTTTCTATCTTCCCTTAGGCCTCTTGTCTTTATCTTCGTCTCCAACTTACTTGTTTCTTGTGCTTCCACTGACATCTCTTTCTTCGTATGTTATTTCTTGTTTCCTTCTTCCTTCCTTCAGATGCTTGAGAAGAGAAAAAACTCACAAAAATATCAAACAGATTATTGTATTTAAACCAAAATGTTGTGTCTTTGTGTATAATTTCATACGCTGTCTTATTTGTATTGTATTTTCTAATTTACCTGAGAATTTTGACTGAATATATACAATTCAAAGAGAAACCATTTGAGTGAAATTAAACACATTGATGAATCAATGAACAAACCTTTTTCTGGTGTGCGTATTTAGAGTGAAAGGATAGGAAATGTTGTTTACAGTCGTCACTAACATTCAGTGTTATTTTGTAACAAAGAAATGAAAGGTAGAGTGTAATCTTAGCATCGTTGTCCTTATTTCCAATTTTACAGCGGTTTTACAAACAAATTTAGTTGGATGAAAATTCTCTAAGCAATCACTTGATTGATTACGTTGTCGATGAAAGAAAAATATTTAGAGGTTCTTGAATTCTGAATCAGTAACTGAATGTTAGTGTTGTAAATGAAAAGCTTTCTTCAAGTGATTACTCCATATATTTCCTAAAAATCCATTTTCGTATTTTGCGTTAATCGCTCGCAAATATAAACAACCCGGTCTGAATTTAATTAGAGTCAATAGTTACTGGAGAAAGTAATAAATTGAAAGAATAATAAAATCGTTGCCTGAAACTGGTACATTAAGAATTAATTCACTATATGCTATTTGTTCTGGTTAGCGTTTTTTTGGCAAGTTAGATGAGGTCACCAACCCCATGCCCAACCCTCCTCCTATATCCGGGCTTAGGATCGGCAATAGCCCTGAAGGTTCTACAGGCGAATCACAAGACCGAGTTGGTTGGAGAAAACTGGTCGGCGGTCTATGCTCCATTGAGGGTAACAGCCGTAAGTAAGTAATTGCCATATGAATATTTATATAATACGACAAAAAGCACCTTATCAATTCGAAATTTTTTCGGCATTCTCATAATTAACAACGGTTAGTGTAATAAACTGTTCCAATACTTAGAACATAAAACCTGAGGTTCATTATAGTCGATAGATAATAAAATAAAATGTAATTTGTATCATAATTTAGAGGATTACTGTGTAGATTGTTATAACCGTAATTCTTACAACGGTATTCTGGACAGAATCATACATTTCATTCAAAAGATGAATTCATCCATTCGAGCTTTCTAACATTCATTGTGCCATGAAATCACTTTCTATCATCCAATATGTTTGACACATATGTTTTGTAGTAATCGCCACTCGAAACGACAGGAGAAGCGGAGAATATGAAAACCATTGTTGCTGCTCCTGTTGAACATCTCATTAATTTTATTCTGATCATTTTATGAAAGTACGCAAGCATATTAGGTCAAACGACATAGTTGATTAACCAGAACTAAACCTAATGGAAGTAAATGCATGTTCAAAAGTTCAATCAGGCCACATGAAGATATTTCATACAGAAAAATAGATCTAACGCGACTAAACTAAACTACTGGTTGAGCATGTTCAACAGTATTTAATGAAATATATGTTATCGCATTTATGGTTTATTTTCCGTGAAATATCACTTATCCAATCTATGCTCCGCTGCTGTTTCAACTTTTGGAAGTTACAAATCTTGATCTTTATTCTGTCTGTTGAAAGGGTTTTATGAATTTGGATAAGTAATTTAGTTTTACTTCAGAAGCGAGACATTCACCGTATGATTCTACTCAGCATTTGTTAACAGAATCGTGGAGATTAATCTAGACTGCCGTCTTCTTAAGAGCATTGTCATATTTGACTCCCACTTTTACTATTCTTGCTTCTGATGATGTCTCTTGGTTTATGAACGTATTTACATTGTTCCATCACCCACCCAATTAAGTAATTCGAGAACATTTCATGAGGTTCTGAAATACTCGATTTGTCATTCTGGTTCTATGTTGACATCCATGAGTTGTTAAGCTGCAGAATAGCTCTTAAATCTACGTTTCGGTTAGGCATCTAAAGATAACTTTGTAGACTAAGGAAACGCTTTCAGATTGCAGAGAAAATTTTATTCAATCTTGGCTAGATACATGAACTAGCAAATATCAAGTTCAGCTTTCTCAGTAAATAAAATTTCACAACGTTTAAACTGAATACACTTGGCTTATGAGACTTTGATTATTTCAAACCACAAGTAGTATTTAGCATTTCAACTAATGCTCAAACTCAGAGTCTATCCTTAAAAGTACGTGTTTCACGGTAAACTGTTATTCATTAATTGTAAAGTCATTGTCCCGATGAGTTCATTTCTACTGAATGATTATTGAAAATAAGTTAACGTTGAAAATCCATTCTAAAAATCTTCTAAATTTTCAAAGGCAAATACTCACATGACCACATCGGGTTGAGCTTAAAACTCTAATGAATTAACACTAATACAATTGAATAAGTAAGATATAACAGGATACTGATCATATTCAATTTAATGCAGTAACATCATTTCAATGTACTATAGTCATTTATGTCTGTGAATGTGAAAAAGTCTTCATTGAAAATCGGAAGTATTTATTTTGTAAATCCAGTTACTTAAGGTACAAGGGTTATTTAAATATCAAACGTTTGAATACTGGCAGATTGATGAAGTTGATCAAGTTTTTAAACAGTAGTTAGTCTTGATATCATACGATATCGAATTACTCACACTATTGTTTTACTTCATTTGAGTTACGCTAGGCAATATCGTCTTTATAATGGATTTGGTCCTGGAGCAGGATGTCTGAGTAGTGGTTGTAAATCGTAAATTCAATACGCCCAGACATCATAATTTAATCTTTGTTTCAAGTATTTAATTACCATGGACAACAGCAAGGGCCATTGATCATGCTCTTTAGCCTTCACATACAACTTACAAAAGACCTGATCTACATCACTGCTCATATTCGACCAGTTCATGATTGAAAGTAAACTGCTTTTATAAATCTTATCCAAAACTTAAATATTGTTTATGGCTAAAATTTGTTACCTCTCGTATTCAGAAAGATTAGATTTTGTTCTAAACTTCTATTATGATACTCCAAACAATATGGCAGATCTTAGTATTCTAATATTTCTTCGTAACGTTTAAGAAGCATTTTCAATCATTCAAGAGGTTTGAGCTTCCTTTTTTATCGAGCAAAAAACCAATGATATTATTAATCCTGTCAAAGAAACTCTAAGTCACAACAACATTAAAAACTCCAAGGAAAATCAAATAGCAGGTAGTTCATTATTTTTATCAGTTCAGTGTGAACTGGTTTCAAGATTCACATTTAGAAAACTATGTGCTTTTCGGTGGCGAATGCTCCCAGATAGATAAATACAGCATCTTAATACCGAAACATACTTTAAATTTAAAATAGTCTCGTCTTAGAGAGTCAGAAACTCAAAGGAGTTAGGTGAAAACAAGTTGGAAACAAATTATTTACAACTGTTGAATATCTTCAGCCAAACCTCATAATAACTAAGAAATGTACAGTTTATTCTCAGTGGTAACTACTTCAGTATATAATTCTTGTGTTACTCTCTCTCACTATATCAGAAAAAATAACCATCGGTTTCTAATAACTGTAAATACACTGGATAACATGCAACGACTTTAATTGTTTACCGAAACAATTACTTTTTTATTTATGAAATGAGCTAAGTTTACACTAAAAAATCAAGACTGTCTTATCATTTTATGAGTCACAGAAAAAAACATCTTTGATCAAATATTTACAGAGGTACTGTTTAAAGGCTTATTAAACATCAACGGTAAAGAACTACATTAGATTGCTTCTGTACTTTACTACCGTCAATAAACTTTTCAAGCAATATGACTTAGGCAATTCTGTCGAAATGTTTAAAGACACTTGATGCGAATTAATGTAGTTTATTTAACATAACAACTTGAAAATAATTTAAACTGTTTTCAAATAAGATCTTGTTGACTGATTCGAACGTTTCAGTTTCTCTTCTTCAGACAAAGACTTATCACGCCCAGAGGTTGTTTCTTTCACGTGCGAACGTGTAACTTTATGGGTGACAGAAGTTTTGATAAGAGGTTTAGATGATGTCTTCGACATATGTTTTTCAGTTAAAATGCTGCAAATATACATTATATTTCACTAATACTTACCGGCCAACTTTGTGACCCGTTCCATAATCTTTCAATTTCTGAATTAAGGCTTTTCTAATATTATTAATAATTTCAACATCTTTTGAATTCTTATATAAGAAGTATAGATCTTGACTCATATATATCGAGCTTCGAGGGATATCCTGGTGTGACCGACAATGAAATCTATTTATCTCACATGAACTCAAAGTCAGACATGTTTCTTTGGGTTTTCTCGTGAAGTACGAATCAAAAACATGATAGTTCATGCGATTCATGTTAACTAGGAAGCTTTTTAAGTCGGTATTCGAAAGTTCAATATCCAATATCTCTCCCACGAACTAGAATAAAAGAAATTTTCCCATGCGCTCGCTTTTTGTTGTTATTGTATAGTTCCAAGTATTTAACAGTGTCCAATAGAGGTTTTCCTAGCCACTGGAGTGAACTTATGTTAGTTATTTGACAGTTAATTTCGAATATGTATGACCCGTGATTTGAATGAGTATGTTCAGTCCAGGGAACAAGGGTTTTGGGGTAGAAGTAGCTATCACGTCACCAGTGTGGAGGTCGGTTAGTTGCGATGCGGAGAACGACAAGAAGAGTATTCTAATGCCAATAACAAGATACTTCCAGAACTAAGTGATTAAATTGATTAGTAATTTGAATAACATGTAGTATAGATTGTGCGAGAGGACAGAAATGTAAGCGATAGAAAGGAAACAGAGATGATAATTGAGCCTAATTAAGTTAGTCATCTGAGCAAACTGTGATAGCCGAAACTAGCATACGTCAGGCAAAGACGATCCAAGAGTTTGATGATAATCTGTGGGTCTGACAATGCTCCTCTAAAAGCTATACGCCGAGGGTGTGGGTTTTGTCGCACCAGCTGGGAGAGGGTTCCGTGTTGCGAAAATTCTTGATGAGAAAAAATGTGTATGAGCCTGGTTTGTTTGCTCTTCGACGTGCGATTTTTGAGGGTGACCTCAAGAGATGTGGCGTAGAGGCTTTGGCAAGACGCTCATATTGGGATGACTCGGTTTACAAAATGTGCTTATTGACATTATCAAATCATCTCTGACTCTCCTATAACTTGGAGGATATGATCCGAAGTGTTGGAATCTAACTCTGTAAGTTTCGTTCTCAAACAAAATCAATCATCTAGTTGCTAATCTCTGTATTCCATATAGGAGCATGAGGAGTGCGGCTACGTTGTAAAATTGAGGGTGTGGCCGCGCATATGTGTTGAAGAGAGTTGATAACAGTTGTGGAGTGATTGTACCAAGTTGTACTCACATGAAGTGAAGAGTTGAGCTAGCCTAGGCCCTGTTCCCTATGTATTTCAAACAGTCATGTCTTTCTGCGGTTAATAAACAGAAATCGTGCTCTTAGGAGACATCAGGAAGCGAACTTCTATTGAGAATGTATGTTGTTTACGTTGCGTGAGACCAATCTTTAAGATGTGGCCTCAATTTGTATATCAACATTTTAATCTTAAAGGTATTTACTGTGGAATGAGAATATACACAGTTTAAGTCGAAGAGGTTTAAGTGGCCCGTGATCTTGACTTTTGTATCTGCGAACAGTTAAATATACTGTGAAATTATCATTCCTTTCAGTTTCCGCAAAGCACACTTAAGCGGACCCCATTTGTGCGACGTCGGTAATACGAAGTCAAATACGGACGAACGAGGTTATTTCAAGCAATCTTTTTCTTGAAGCAGACGTGATAATTCCAAGCAATAAAGCAAAGCGTAGCGAAGTGAAGAAGGTGACAAAGCCAACTCCATACAGTTTAACTTGACTTAGTTTTCATAGTCAGACAAAATAAAACCAGTAATGAGATAAGGGAAGAATAAAGCAAGTAGCTGACAAGTTCGGAAGACTTGTAAATAACTATAAAAAGGGATTGATTAAATTTTTGATAGGCTAAGACAAATCATTTAGGTTCGACATACAACTACACACACTTCTGTTTGCTGGTTGTTTAATAAAACTATTTAACAGCTGGAGAATCGACGTACTCTGACTGGCTGCCTAATCTAGACGATTATATTAAAAACTCACATCATTGTCTATATTCACCCATCATAATGTTATCAGCAGCAGCACGCTTCTCAAAACTCTTGGAAGAGTATATTAAGCTGTGAAAAGGCATATGCAGTAAAATTAGGAACTTACAAAGAGTGATCAAACACCATCTGTCTTGTATCAGTATTTCAGCCTTCCTCAATCCTTAGGATATTTGACAGTGTTCTATTGCATTCAACATATGAACTAGATAATAACGACCCAGTAGCTTCTTTTTACTGAGTTCAACGTTCTCAACTTAATGTAGGATCTGAAGGGTACCGATTTTACTCACTATTATATTGTCAATGAATTTAGTTCAAATAAGATACTTTCATGCCATCTCTCTCATAATGCATATTCAAAATATTATTTGAACAATGCAATAACAAAAATTAGAGCAGAAGAGCACAAACTCATTTGATTGTTGAATTTTCACCAATTAATTTCAATCTGAAAACATGGAGATAGTATTCAACGTCCAAAGTAAAATTACCTTCAAACAAGAAATAATAGCATCGTTTATGAAATGTGGTGTACTTACGTAGTTTCCTCATATCAGGAAACTCTTCATACCTGTAAATTTATAAATTGTCTTAATTATGTGTTAGGTGTTTCCATGTTTGAATACTTACATAATAAATTATGTTAAAATACATTAATGAAATGTTATTGTTTCTGTTCAATAGATAGTCAACTCAGAATAGATGAAGACGGACTTGTTGATGAGTGAGGAGGTTATCTAGACCAGGCATACCGATGACCTGCCTGGTGCTAGAAATTTATTTACAAGCAGTATTCTAACTAACTGAATATTCACAATCATGTATACCAGAACAAGTAGTCTACAAAGAAGGATGAACAAAACAACGAGTCTAGACTTGAGTAGCCAGACTTGTGAGAAAATTCGTCCCAAATACTATGAAAATCAACATCTGGTGCCAGGTAAGCTACGACCGTGCCTCAGCTGAAACACTACTCGATTGAGCACACAAACTATGCATGAAGAGCAAGACTAAGAAGGAATTATGCACTTTTGATAGTTTTCCATAGAGTAGTGCTATAGATATTCCACTAAAAACTATGAACACATCTACTAACGGATTACGTTAGTGTCCCAGGCGTTATCCCAAGTCTTGAATCAATATATATAGGCAATTCCTTTTTTATTTTACAAAAATGAATCGATCATCTGATAAGTGACTGAAAGTCATCATTTTGCATTAGTAGTTTGAGATTACCTTGTGATGATAACAATATATATTTGATGAGAAATTACTCCCAGTCGAATATCTACAATTGATTGAGTGTTTTTTGCTTGAATCCCAATTGCGAATACAATAACAGAACTCTGAAATCGATAAACATTTGTTCAAGTACAAATAACTCATGGTTTCCGATAGACATTCATTCAAACTAATTGTAGATAAAGATTTCCCTCAAATGAATCAATAAAACTAGGCAACTCTTTGCCCACGATTAAAATCATGACATTTACGTTCGACGGTAAACACAAAACTCTAAGGCCACATTTCTAACTGAAGTTGATCAATATTGCATTAATAGCCAAGAATATACATTGAAAGTATCGCATCATACAATAAATTAAATGGATATAATGACTTTGTAGCAGTCAAGAGAATGTCAAAAAGAATACTCTAGAACACAACCAGCACCAATCAGTGAACATTTAAATTTAACATACCTTTGATGTTTAACAAGATAGTTGAAGGCGATATGCTATGAAATATTCTGTGAATCATTGCATACTTAAAGAAACGATTTGATTAATGCTATCCCATCCATTTTTATGGTTAAAATGAATTCAAAACAAACGGTGGACAAAGAGTTAATAAATTGTTAGGAATGTATATCACTGAATGTTTCATCTTTGTTCAGCCTCAGTATTGGGCATTTTCTATAATTGGATCATCTCTGCAATATTTGTTTTTGTAGTTATTTAGTGAGTCAACATTCCATTTGATTCTTGCCTAACAGAATCTAAGATTCGTTATGAGCGGAGTTTATTCCCCCTAGTTCTATCACTATGATAACTTCGGTTCACATATCTAACACAACTTTATTGCACTTCTAGTGGAACACTTCTACGAAGAAAACGCGATTGGTGAAAACAAACATTTATTATTGTACTCGTTTAGTTTAACTGTACCAAAAACACTTCTTGCGCTCAACTTTCTTTGCGCGTTGCTGCCACTTTTCATAACGTGCTGCTCTCTATGTAACGCCTACGTTCTCCTTCAACAAATATTCGAACATGAATTTATTTTGATTTACGTGACGGGTTAGTATGGAACATTTAGTGGTAATCATAGTCAATCTCGACCCGGTCACCACTAAACACTCAATCAGTGAATGATAAACGCTATGGTTTATTGGTATACCATCCAGTTGTGTTTCATATTGGTAACCTTATTATCTTGGTCTTATTCTTATCATTCCGTTCGGTAACAAGTAAATGAGTGCTCTAAATGTATAGGGCTAACGCATCACGTAATTGTGACAATCTTGATCTTCTCACTGTACCATTCAAATTTATCAAGAAAACAAGCTGTTTTAAACTCAATGATTCCAACGAAACAGCATGTTTAGACACCTTTGTTCTCAGCATAAAATTGATCATCAATGTGGAATTATTCCTGCAGGAGACAAGCTAGGTAACATCATGAAAATGAGAAGCCATAGAGAGTCTCAGTGGCTATATGTTCAGTTAAATGTTCACATGTAACCCCAGATAGTTAGCCGACAGCTTTCTTCTCTAGTGATTATATAATATCTATTTATGCTCAGACTAGAAAATGTCAACAAAATGAATAATTACCGATGACATTACATTAATTTGTATTATAGCCATTAATTTACGGTTAACGTAGAATATTCTCTATAAAAGTAAAGCTTGTGGACCACTCCCACATTCATAGTTCGATGATTTCGATTTCAGCGTGAATTCTGTTGACAATTTGAATAAAATATAAAATAATTCAAAACAGACATTTGAAGAAATATACACATGAATTATTTGTGTGTTCTAAAAAAATAATATTTGGGAGTATAG